AAAAAAAAATTCCTTCATTGGTATACAATTCCCCCATCCCTTCCCCCACCCCCCACTGAGTACACTTCTCTAAGCAACCTTAATTCTGGACTCCTGTGCTAACCATAATACTCAAACATATATCCCTCTAATCTGTTCTTTCCCTCATCTGTTTCAATACAGTATACAGAATTTATCCAGTTTTAATCGGGGAGCTCCACCCCACTCACTGTCCCCATTAACACATTTGACACATCAGTGTCACAGTCTTCAGCCTCACAGCAACCACAAGTGACCGCTATACGACAACTTGTACACCAGGGCTATACGACCTAGACGAATGTCTGAACAAAAACAATGAAACACAGGCCCGAGGGCCGTGGATTAAAAGTCATCCACCTTCGGCTTGGTAGCATCGTTTTCTGTCCACTGGGCCAGCTGATATCTCTCTCTCTATGTTGATGTTTTTGTTGTTAAGTGCCTTCGAGTCGCAGGAGACTCATAGCGACCCTATGAAGGAGAGTCCTCCATGCTTGGGTGTCTTTCATCCTCTCTCCAGGTTCATAGGGTTTCCGGCGGCAAGCTACTATGGAAGTGGATGCCACTCCTCCTTCCAATCTTGTTTTCATTGGGGAGCTCCAGCCCACTCTGTCTGCATTGGATAACCAGCCATTAACACATTTGACACATCAGTGTCACAGTGTTCAGCCTCACAGAAACCACAAGTGATCGCTGTACCTGTACGGCAACTTGTACACCAGGGCTATATGATCTAGAGGAACGTCTGAACAAAAACAATGAAACACAGGCCCGAGGGCCGTGGATTAAAAGCCATCCACCTTTGGCTTGGTAGCATCGCTTTCTGTCCACTGGGCCAGCGGATCTCAATGTTGATGTTATTGTTGTTCAGTGCCCTTGAGTCGCAGGCAACTCACAAAGCTTATACCTTTTTTTTTCTCTTCAAATTTATTGCTGCTGCTGTTGATTCTGACCCACAGTGACCTTATAGAACAGTGCAGAAGCACTCAACAGTTTCCAAGGCTGTAAATATTTTTAAAGAATCCATTTTAGGTCTTTAGTGTTGTTTTGATAGAAATGTCATAATTGAGTGGTTTTAACAAACAGAAACTAGTTTGCACAAAATTTAGGAGACTAGAAGTTTAAATGTAGATTGCCAATTCTAGGGGAAAGCCTATTACTATAGCTACTTTATGAGCTGATCTCATGGGTAGTCTTCCTCTTTTGGGGGGGAGGGGTGTTTTGTTTTTTTGCTTGGAAGAGAGGTCCAATATAATCCATGATATTCCATTCTATGAGATTTGCAAAATGTAATCAGTAAGAATTTTGCCAAAGCCACTTCTCTTGCTCCATGGGTCAGCCCCTAACCCTGTTATGCTGCTAGTCTCCTACTTCTACTACCACCACACAGTTGCCACTGTTACCCACCATTCTCACTGCCTCCTTGTACTACAACTCTTTTCAGTTCCTTCTGAGCCACACCGCGTAGCCTTTCACATCCACAATTTCTGTTTTTCCAATGCAGTTTATACTTTTTCTTATTTTTTAATAACCCTCAAACTGAAACTCACTGTGATAGAGTTGGAACTGATTCCTAGAAGACCCTTCAAATAATTTTTTAGAGATAGTAAATCACACAGTTTGCTCGGCTCCACGGTTAACACTCTTGGCAACAGCAATCAGGAAATCAGAAAACGTATTGCGATGGGAAAGTCTGCTAAAGTCTCTAAAGTACTCAAGAGCAACGGTGTGTCTCTGGAGACTAAGGTGCGTCTAATACAGGCCATGGTTTTTGCAATCACTTGTTATGCATCAGAGAGTTGGACAATGACTAGGGAGGATAGAAGGAAAATTGATGCCTTTGAGCTATGGTGCTGGAGAAGAATATTGAATGTACCATGGACTGCCAAGAAAACAAACAGATTGAACCTGGAGAGGGTTAAACCAGGCTGCTCCTTGGAGGCAAGGATTCTGAGGCTTCGCCTGGCATACTTTGGACATGTTGTAAAGAGGGACAGGTCCTTGGAGAGGGACATCATGCTTGGTAGGGTGGAGGGACAGCGCCCCTCTATGAGGTGGATTGATTCAATGACTGGGGTAATCGGGATGGGTGTGTAAGAGGCAATGCGATTGGCACAGGACAGAGCAGGGTTTAGGGCTGTTGTACATAGGGTCGCTATGAGTCGCAAGCGACTCGACGGTACATAACAACAACAACAACTCACGCAGGAGGAGATTTCCTATCTTTCTCCCAAGGAGAAACTGGAGGATTTCCATCTCCAGAGAAGCATCACTTTTGGATTAGGGGCGGTGCAGTTCCCTACGGACTGTACTGCCACTGCGGCTATGACCATTAGGTGGCGCCTAACAACAACAATAATCTTAAATTTTTTACAACCTCTATTCTTTATCCAATTTCAAAACGGCTTCCACATTTTAGGTATCTGTTAACAGCAAACTGTTTCTGGTCTCAAGTTCCTAGTTATCTAGGCCATTTATAACAAAAATATTTTAGATGTGTGGTTTTAATAATCAGAATTTTATTCTCACATTTTAACAGATTAGAAATCCTAATCCAGGAATTAACTCTAATGGAAAGCTTTCTATATTAATTTTGGATGGAGTTCTCCTTTTCTCCTCTGGGAAATATGGGGCTAGCATCACTTGGAGATCTCCATGTGTCTTGGCATCAATCTCCCTAGGGCTTTGAAATTTTCAGCTCAGAAATCTTGGTTCCAAAACATATATTCCACTCCCGCTTCTTTTTGGAAGCAGAAGTGGCATCCACTTCCTAAACAGCATGCCTCTGGAAACTCTATGAAC